TCCACTCTTTGTTTCGAGCTGTGTGCGGACACCTATAGGCATTTTTAGACGCATACAAATTATTGATCATATATAAGAGCGAGGGGTTAAATTTAATATTTAATACTACTTGAATTTTAGTCGGTGAGAGATCGCCACGTTGTGTATAATTATTAATCATATAGCATGTGAATAATTTTGATCACTTTGGCATTATTACTCATTAAGCACATGAATAATTGACCATTGATCACATATAAGAGAGATGGGGGTAAATTTAGCATTTAATAAATCATCTAATTTAGTTAAGCTGCTCTTTCTTTCAGGTTTACATTTCAATTTAAACTATATCCTTATCTTCATACTATGTATATCTAATAAGAATTCATCAATTTATCAACTTACTCTTACTTAATGGATTAGTATTTAAATTCCAAGGATATTTTTGTCTACTAAAAGATTTTTCCAAACTCGTGCTTTTAAAGGGAGTACATGTTAAGATGCACGTGCAATCCACGTGGTTGAATATCATGATTATTTAAATTGATAACAATAGAGTAAAAATAAAAAAATAAAGTTTTTTTGTGGGATTGATCAACTCAATAATCTTTCTCTTAAATAAAATATTGTTATTGTTTCATTCAACCCAGACTGTAGCCATGTGATCTACTATTTGTGAGTTATAAACACATTAATCTAATACAACACCTCTATTTATTAGTATCTTGAAGTCTTCAAAAGATGAGTGGTCATTCAATTCATAAAAGAATTTTGCATATGAATTTACTTGTAGTATGTCCATTAAAGTTTTAGTTGTGATTTAACTCATATTTACATAAACTTTTAGTTATTGTTTCACTCATATTTATATTATCTAATATTCTCATTTAATTTTATAGCCCATTCTCTGTATCATAGAAGTAAAACTGAAAGTATGAAGAATTATTTTTCTAGAACATGAAGATTATGATATATTTTGATATATGCTCTAAATATATTTTTTTCTTTGATACAATGTCCCTATCAAATCTTATCCTAAATAATATGAATAAAAAATACTATTATAACTCACATGTCTAGGATAATTGTATTGTATATAGGACACATAACTCATCTGGAATATCCACATCTGCTAAGTGGATTTTATTGTTGTGAGAGCAACATGTTAGAGGTTCGTATTCAAACTTTTTGACTCTATGAAAGACACAAGAATTTGGAGTGTATAGCTTACATATCGTAACTGACATATTGATTTATAAAGAAATTTTCCTAATAACGATATTATTACAGCGATATTTCTATATATGATATTTTTAAATAAATTATAAAGTATATATATGAAAACCTTAATGCTTATAGTCAGTAGTTGGGCTCCATAAAATATGTTAACTTTATATTGTAGTTTGCTATTTGTAGTATTGACAATGTTATTACCTTTCTTTTTTATTTTATTATTCACACTTTTCTGATGTAAGTTCTCTTTTGCTAATCACTCAATTGGCTATATTTAGTTTTTATAATATCAGAGGGTAGAATATTCTCTTCTACTTAAAAAGTGTTGATATAATTTTCCTAAAAAATATATACACATAGTAGCAATAGTATGTACTTCAGTTCAACTCAAACATTGGCTTGAAGCCATTTAGAGTGAGATCATTTCTACGCTAAAATGGTGATATAGTGATTACAGAGTCTAAAAGTCAAATAAAAAATTTCTACAAAGAAAAAGTAATTTAATGTGTCAAATTAAGAAGTAATTTATAAATTATATATGAACAATGCATATAGCTATGAAAAGTAATGTACATATATTCATAAAAACTTCATAGTGAGTGACCAACTATAATCATCCTAATTTAAGCATAATTAATTATTATTTTAGTTACTAATTTGATACGCTTAACTATGAAATAAATTTCTAACAAAAATAAAAATTAAGATTGTATTATGCTGTAGGTAAATAAATAAATGTTATTAGAGCTCCTTTTTATATTAAATTTAAAAATAATAATTTAAATTATTAAGCACCAAATATTAGCTCATGTGAGATAGTAAAGTAATCTATGGTCTATATACGTTTATAGTTAATCAATCAAATGTATTAAATTTATGATGACCACAGTCAAAATTATATAGTGGGTTCACATTAAATATAATTTATAAAAAAATAGTACATTAAATAAAAAACTTTTTAACAACTATATAGATTATCTGAAATTTTTTACATATATAAACTATATTGCCTAGGAATAGTGATGTGCACACTTAACTATGGTTTAATAATCTTATCGTCATTGTTTCCTTCAATGCAGACTGGTCTATTATTTGCAAGTTATAAACACATTCATCTAGTACAACATTTCTATTTATTAGTATCTTAAAGTCTTCAAAAGATGGGTGACCATTTAATTCGTAAATGAATTTATATATAGAATTTTTGCATATATAAATTACACTACCTAGGAATAGTGATGTGTTATACACTTAATTATAGCCTAATAATCTTAAGAATGACTTACTCTTCAATATTATTATTAATTGATATATTTATGCATTACACTAAAAACACAATAAAAATTTAGAAAACTACAAAAGACACACCCTAAAAAATTTAAAAATTATAAAAAAACCCTCTAAAATTTTATAAATTTACAAATACACAAAACTATTAAATATTACGTTGAAATCAAGAAATTACAAAAAATCATTAAAAATTTCAAACTTTGGAGAGGTAATTTACAATGTGCTAAAATTTAAGGGTGTTTTTTTTTGTAAATTTAAATTTTAATAGATTTTTAATCATTTATGTTCTTTTCAAAAAAGTTACGCGTAATTTTGACCATGAAAGGTTTTTCCTAAATCTATACTTTTAAAGTGAGTATGATATTTTTGTAAAATTTAGTTTTCTAAGGGTTGTTAGTAATTTTGTATATTTATTTTTGTGTCCATAGGTTAGAAATTCACATGGTATTTTTTATAAATTATAAATTTTAGGGCCTTTTTGTAATTTTTTAAACTTATAAGCCTTTTCTACAGATTGTAAATTATTTATAGACTATTTATAATTTTTATGCTTTCAATTTACTAACGAGTTTGAAATTCTCAGTGTGTTATTTATAAATTTTGAATTTTAAGGTTTTGCTTGTAATTTTTAAAACTTCAAGGGTGTTTTCTTTAAATTATAAATTATGTAGGAAATATTTCTAATTCCTATATTTTTAATGTACTATTAGGTTAGAAATTATCAAAATTTTATAAATTTACAATTCTGAGGGTTTTATTTTATAATTTGTAAAAAGTTCAGAGCGTTTATTGTAAATTCCATAAATTTTGGGGGTTGTTTGTGTTATTTGTAAGTTTTTAGTGTGTTTATAAGTTTGAAATTTTGAATATGTTTTTTTATAAATTTTGAATTTTTAGGGGTGTTTTTTTAATTTTCAAAACTTACAAGATATTTTCTCCAAAGTTAAAAAACTTTTAGTTTCTAGCTAGCATATATTTTTTAGATTTCTTACTGAATTAAAATAAGTAAATTTATAATTTTTAAGATATTTTAATAAAATTTTAAATTTGCAGGGATGTTTTTGCTATTTAAAAAACTTGGAGGATTTTTTTTACAAAGACCAAAAGTTTTTAGGTGCTGGCTAGCATATGTTTTTTTAGATTTCTCTATGAGCTAAAATAAGTAAAGGATTTGAATTATATCAAACGTATTTTCTTTATCCAATAACATGTTAAGCCTCATTTTAAATATGATAAATCATTTAGTTACTAATTCAAAGAAGATAAGGTAAATAGAATAGATTATGATAACAATGTAATATTTAAAAAAAGTTAAGGGTAATATTGACCATGAAAAGATTTTTTCAAACTCGTATTTTTAAAGAGAGTATGATATGATATTATATATATATATATATATATATATATATATATATATATATATATATATATATATATATATATATATATATATATATAATATAATATATATATTATATAATATATATATATATTATATATATATATATATATATATATATATGGGAAATTTTTTTCCTAAGGTGATACATTAGATTCCCACCTAAGCACGCGGCGCGCTCTAAAATACATCATTCCTAATTTTTTTTGCGATCTGCTTCGTTAAACTTGATCTACACATTCTTAAACCTAAACATACCAATTTGGGATGAACACGCTCGTGTTTTGACCGCTTCATCCACTCACCGCAATTTAACAATTTCAAATGAATATAACTTTTTTGCACAGCTCATCGAAGGGTCAAACCACGACGAGTTCACCCCAAAATTGATGTTTTGGGTTTAAGAAAGTGTAGATAAGTTCAACGAAGCGGATCGTAAAAAAATTTTAGGGAATGATGTCATTTTAGGTCGCGTCCCTAGGTGGGATCTAAGGTATCACCTTAGGAAAACATTACCATATATATATATATATATATATATATATATATATATATATATATATATATTATATTATATATATATATATAGATTAAGTGGGTATCCTTGTCATAGTGAGGGGATTTCCTACATTGACGCCTCTAAAATCACATGATTGAGCCATACAAAAAGTTCTATTGCATTCGAACTGTTAAATTACGGCCGAGTGATGAAGGGCGGCAAAACACGACGGGTTCACCCTAAATTGATGTGTTTAGGTTTAAGAACGTGTAGATTAAGTTCAACGGAGCAGATCGGAAAAAATAAGTTAGGAATGATGTGATTTTAGGCCGCGTCCTTAGGTGGGAATCTAAGGTGTCACCTTAGAATCACTTTTCCCATATATATATATATATATATCTAATATATTATATTATATATATATATATTCCGCGCCTGCAAGTTCTCTGTATGTGGAAATACACAGATTCATCCTCTCTCTTGACTTCTTTTATCTGTTCATTACAAAAAAATTCAATCTTTTGGAAAATTTCTGTTGTATAACGACAAGAGAGAGAGAGAAAGATATGACGTCTGCGGATGAGAAACATGTGTATGAGATGCCTTATTCATCCTCACCTCGAAAAACTGATCCAAAACCAACTTCAATAATCCATTTTCTCTATTAATCCTACTCTCTTTGTCCTTATTATAGATATAACTTCTATCTCCACAAACGCCCACTCAGTTTGTTGTTCAGCCCATCACTAGGTGAGCTCCTCTCCCTCTGCTTTGCCTTTTAATTCTCATAACATAAATTTTCTCTATCTGGGTTTCTTTATAATGCAGTAATTCTTGAGTTAGGAGGTGAATTTCAATGATTTTGGGCATCTGTTGAAGTTTTCCTCATATGGGTGTCATCAGTGTGCAATAGATTCATTTCATGATTTTGGGCTCATATTGTTACTATTTCTGATACTAGATTTTTGGGTTTTAGAAGGGATTTGTGAGATTATCTGTAGAAATGGAGATCACCAACGTTACAGAGTATGATGAGATTGCGAAGCAGAAGCTGCCTAAGATGGTGTATGACTACTATGCATCAGGTGCGGAGGACCAATGGACTCTCAGAGAGAACAGAGAGGCATTCTCAAGGATTCTGTAAGCTCCTTCTTTAATTTTAATCAGATTTTAGAAGAGTTACTAGTTTACGCATCTATGATCTTGATATAATTCTCTGCTTTAGGTATCAGAATTTGTTGCTGTGACTGATACTTGTGTATGAGGATCTAAGGTTTTTGTGCTGTGGCCCAGAAAACTAACCTTGAAAGCCTGTAAGATGGTGCCTATGTGGATATTTTGAGGCCAACTTTGATAGAAATTGTCTGAGACCATCTTAGTAAAATTGTCTTCTTCGTCAGAAAAAAGAGGGAAACATGAATTCGTCAGTAGTTTATGTGACTGTAAAAAAAGTTTTTACTGTTTGAAGATTGCCTTTGTTGCTTTGTGCTTTAGGTGATTAGTGAACTCTGCTAGAGAGAAATTTTCTGGTAGGGTCGTTCTTATTGTTGGTCTTACTGAATACTAGTAAAATTTCCACCTTCCCAATGAAAGCACCTTCAATTGGAAATTTTCAGCTTATCAGTCTCCTGATCGAACATAAAAAAAAGAAAAAAAAACATTGAAGAATAGGAATTGGAGTCTTGTTGAAAACAAGGATAAAAAATTAAGTTTAATTACTGATATTTTTATTTTTATGAACATGATCATATGTAAACAAAGCTGTCTTGATCTTTACTTATTTTCATGATTGCTTTGTTTAAATGAACTGGTAGGAAACAAAGTGGTAATCTCGAAGATTGCTTTTGTTATTTTCATGATTACTTTATGAGAAAAAAGAGGGAACACGAAATTCATCGGTTGTTTATGTGATTGTCAAAAAATGTTATACCGTTTGAAGATTGTTTTTTTTTTTTTTGCGTTGACCTTTAGGTGATTAGTGAACTCTGCTAGAGATAAATTATCTTGTAGGGCTTCCTTATTGTTGGTCTTTGCTCAATACAAGTAAAAGCTTCACCTTCCGAATGAATGCATCTTCAATTGGAAACGTGGATAAGCTACATGATAGCCTTATCAGTCTCCTGATCGAACATCTAAAACAAAGATCCATATGTTAAATAGGATTTGATGAATGTAAATTGAGGTTTTATTGAAAATAAAGATTCAAAGTTAACTTTAATGACTGATACTGCTTTTTTTTTTATGAACATGGCCATAAGTAAGCAAAGTGGTCTCAATCTTTTGCTATTTTCATGGTTACTTTGTTTAAATAAAACATGTTATATAGATATTACTTCAACCTAAGAGAAGCAACATAAGAGCACTTGAAATTATTCAGTACATGACTGTTTTTTTCCAACTAGGTTTCGCCCCCGTATACTGATTGATGTATCGAGGATTGATATGACCACAACGATTTTGGGTTTCAATTTATCTATGCCAATCATGATTGCTCCAACTGCCATGCAGAAAATGGCTCACCCTGAAGGTATTTTATATCACTTTATCTTGTAATGTCCTCTTTGAACTGAATGTTAGGATAAAAGCAATGAAATTCAGTCAACCTACTGTGGTCTAGTTTCTCAATCTGATTCTTTATCCAGTTATAAGAGCCTTCTTCCGTGTTTTCCATTGTTAGGTAGCCTTACTGATTTAAAGAAATTAAGAAACCTGTTTATTTCTTGATGTAGATGACACTGTGAATATTTTTATGTAGAAATTGGACTGTTAGAAGCCCAAATGCGGACTGACAGAAGAAAGTAACTTGTAACAAAGAACGAGTCATATTTCCCAAACCGTATGTCGGAATTGGACAAGTTATATATGAAATCTCGAATTTTATCGAGACGGAGTCAACTAAACCAACCGATAGCAATTAACACAACGCGGAAGTAAGAAACCCTAGAATCCACCAATGGGTGATGTTCGGATCCACAAAGAACAATTTTGGAATCCATGAAGAGAATATAATAAAGAAAAATTTTATTGATGAAAAGTTACGTCTCTAGGGTTTACAATCATTTGCTTAAATAGGAAACAAACAAGACTTATACTAGAACTCGAGCTTTACCACAAATAAAAATAACAAAACTCTCCTTAAAAGACTCTATGATTGGAGAAATAAATTGGTCAAAATTGGAATTAAATTCCTGATCAAAATAGACTCCTAAAAATATTATGTAAAATACTGACAGAATTTTTGATATCTCTCAATTCGGAAGGAATTTCACGAAATAGATGGCGTCAAACCGAATATCGATCAGTTTGGTTGCGTCCGTCTCAAAAAAATACACGATTTTCATATATAATTTGTCCAATTATGAAATATAGTTTTGGAGATATGACCCGTTCTTCGTTGCAAGTTATCTTCTTCTGCCGGGTCCCCATTTGGGCTTCTGACGGTCCAAATTCTTCATAAATATATCCGCAGTGCATTCTACATCATTTCTCTAGTATCTATATTGGTCAAATACGTAAAATAGTGATTATCTTACATCTCAATTATTATTTTTATTATGGTGCTTGCCAAGATAAAGTTTGTGTAACAGAAAGTGTGAATTGATGCCACAGGAGAGTATGCAACTGCAAGGGCAGCATCAGCAGCTGGAACAATTATGGTTAGTCATAATTATCATTATTTTGAATGATATAGAGTAGCAATGATGTCCATCAATATTCATTGTATATGATTTATTATGGTTCACTTAGTTGCAGCGTGCAGTAGTCTTTGTAGTTTAGACAGCTCCGCTAATAGTAGTATTCTAAATGTTGGAGGCGAAACTGTCTAAGCTTGTAAGGTTGACAGAATCATCTTAATTATTATGGTAGATTTTTCGGTCGCGATGTTGCAAGAATCATCTTTCTATGACATGTCATCTCGGGTCAGCTATAAAAGTTAATAAACCAAGCTTAAACTCAGTTGTAGCAACAAAGTGTCAAGCTTTGGTGCTACAAAAAGCCTATATAAAGATAGGATGTAAGGGGTGAATGAAGGAATATGTAGCTTACGCTATTGGTTAAAATTTCTTATATAATGTTACTCTCAACATATATATACCTCTATAAATTCTACTTACATCATTTTCTCCAAAAATTATTTTATCCCATGCTTGCCAATCTATCTTCTGCTACAGGAGATATTGACTTAATTTGTTTGCATCTGATTCTATAGTTTTGTTATGCATGTACGTCACTGTAATCTATGCCCTTTCATCTCTAGACGTTGTCTTCATGGGCTACTTCCAGCGTCGAAGAGGTTGCCTCCACTGGCCCGGGTATCCGCTTCTTCCAGCTTTACGTAAGTAGTTTTTTTTTTTTTTTTTTTTTTTTTTTTTTTTTTTCTATTTTGACTTATTCTTCACATTTTGGCATCGAAGACCATTTCTCATAAGGGTTAATTGCGGATAGACCCCTCTACTACCGGCCAATTGTGAATAGACCCCCTGTACTTCTTTTTTTGTGGATAGACCCCTTTTACCATCACGCAATTGTGCATAGACCCCATAATGAAATTTTTTACTCCTTTACCCACAAGAATAGTCAAAGAACAGTTTTCTCATCCTCTGGGGGTAAAAGAGTCAAAAAAATTCATTCAGGGGGTCTATTCGCAATTGGGTTATACTAAGCGGGGGTGCCTCTGCAATTAACCCTTCTCATAAAAATTAATTGAGAATTTCTTTTTATCTCATCATCCATAATCTATATTATCATCAGGTATACAAGGACAGGAATGTAGTTGCTCAGCTTGTTAGAAGAGCTGAAAGGGCTGGCTTCAAGGCAATTGCCCTCACTGTGGATACTCCCAGGCTTGGCCGGAGGGAGGCTGACATCAAGAACAGGTGTTTTCTTCATTTCATTTGTAGACACAATTTATCACTATATGCACATGGAGCCATCAAAACAGTACATGTTCTTGAAGTTTTTATGGACCTTAAAACCAGCCAGAAGTCTTGTTTTGAGATAAATTAACTAACACAAACACAATTCTATGCACATGGAGCCATCAATACAGTACATGTTCTTGAAGTTTTTATGGACCTTAAAACCAGTCAGAAGTCTTGTTTTGAGATAAATTAACTATCACAAACACATTTCACTGCCTTAATCACAAAATATTGGGGTCATATACGTGACTCATATAGCTGTGCGATGGGGTCATATACATAAGCCATATACATGCACCGTATTTTTTCATGCCTTAATCCATGTTTGTTTTAGTGTAGGCTAGTCCTATCCACTCTCAACTCCTTAAAATTACACTGATTTTTTTTGTTCCCTTTGTTGTTCCTGATATTCTAATTTCAGGCACCCTCTTTTTTTTACATGATGGCTGTCAGACATTCAAATTTGTAAGCCTTGATGGCCATATGTCATTTTGCCATTTTCCTTTGACTTCATGTGTATTGTAGGGTTACATGATAGTATTCCTGTCGTCACACGGTTCTCTAGAGGCTCTTGCTCACTCTAATCATCCTGACTTTGGCTCTATAGACTGATGTTCTCTCCAATTTAGCTGTCATGTCTGATCACTTATGAAATTTTCTCGTCTCAAACCTTTTCACTGAAACTGTTACGCATTAAGCTCAAACGAACTTGAAAGATATCAAGGTGGTTACGTACATAAACTAACCACTTTCTCAATTTTGAAAGCTACATCATTTCAACAATTTGTATCTCTTTGTAATATTTCTTCTGCAGATTCACACTGCCTCCATTTCTAACACTCAAGAACTTTGAGGGCTTGGACCTTGGAAAGATGGACAAGGTGAACATTTAATTGCACTATACAGTTAAAGATCTTTCCGCTTTATTGATATTATGTTCTAAGTTGGTTTTTGTTATTGTGCAGGCTGATGATTCTGGTCTGGCATCATATGTTGCTGGACAAATTGACAGATCTCTGAGCTGGAAGGTACTTTGAAACTATATTTGTGCTTAAACTTAAAGATCCTCTAAATTCTTTTAGCTCTAGTTCTGTATGGGCATCCTACATTTTTATATGAATAACCCATGGCTTTCTCAATCCATGCTTCTGGAGCATAATTTCCATTCTGCTCTATAAATTCAGAAGTCCTATTTTCTTTTATTTAAAAAATTCAACCAATTATGGATTCATCGATAAATGAAACCAAACAATTGGTGAATGCCTTGAAAAGCTTGATATACTGCACACATGGTAATGTTGTGAGTCTATGGTTTTTTATGATATCAAATTCTTCAGGAGGCAATTCAGTGTTTCACGTTGATGTTCTTCGCAACATACTCATTTTATTTTCTTCAATATAATTAACATAAACTCACTCAATTACATGTTATATGGGAATCTGCGTCTCATATTATCCATACATTTCCCGCCACGGCTCTTAGGTGTTTGCAATGTGTGTACGTTTAGCTGTTTGATTCATTTTATGATAATAAATATATCACCTCTTCCTAACATTTCTTTGCCATTTATATTTTCAGGATGTCAAGTGGCTGCAGACTATAACAACCATGCCAATTCTGGTGAAGGGAGTAATGACTGCAGAAGACAGTAAGCTTTCAGCTCCTACTTAGTTTTTCCTTTCTTTTTATTTTGAGCAATATAATCAGCTCCCAACTGGATAAAAAACCTCCCTAATTCTCCTGCAGCAAGGTTGGCCATACAAGCCGGAGCTGCTGGTATTATAGTCTCTAACCATGGAGCTCGTCAGCTGGATTATGTTCCAGCAACTATAAGTGCACTGGAAGAGGTAAGCTTTGTTTTGCTTTGTTTTTTGTTTTGGTTTTTTTTAATCTTATTCCTACTTTCTTACTAGCATTCTGATAGGCTTCGTGTAAATGGCAACTTTCGTTCTTATTCACATATTAGCATAACATGGATGCTAAGTTTTGTCCTCAAAGAAAAGGAATGGTAGTATAGTCGAAACTACAGTCTTTTGTTCATTTGTGAGTACCCTTATCATGATGAGACTGGCGTTAACACTGGCCTATAGCTGCGACCTAGCTAACTGTTTAGAGTATAAAATTATTTTTTTTTGAGAGAAAGGATGAGATACCATAAAGATATCTCAGCTAGCTAAATAACAAAATGGTTGTTACATAATATGTACATATCCCCAACCTAGGATATGTATCTATGTTCAAAGTTAACTACATAACACTGAAACAGATTTTCCAATCTCTAACCACAAATTAGAGACTAAACCAAATCTAACTGCCAAAACACATAAAGACTGAACATAAACTACAGAAAGTTTTGCTATCCAAAAACAATTATCCCAAAAAGATATGTAAAAACGGATCATTCCAGCTGAATAATCCCCCCCGAGCTTCTATCTTCAACTCCAGCAGTGGCCTTAACTCCCGCATCAAGCGCCATCTTCTTCTTCCTCCTTTCTTGCAGTCTTGTGGTTCTGGCAGATTCCTTTTTCATACCTAGTCATAGATTTGAGAAAGTTATGACTTTGTGAAAAATCATAATGTAATTCCTCCTCTTATTAGAAAACAATCTATCATTCCGTTCTTGCCAGATACACCAAATAAGGCAGCAGATAAAGATATCTCTTTTCAATCTAGGTTCCCCAAGAGAGCTACTATTCCATTTCAGCCACAGATTCTTCAAGGACCCAAACCTGAAATCCTCTTCAATTTGTAAATTGGTCTGCATCAATTTCCATACAGATTGAACAAACTCACAGTTAATAAAAATATGAGAGTGATTTTCAATCTCCTTAGAACAAAGACAACAGATTTTGTCTAAAGAAATTCCCTTTTTTTCTAATATATCTTTTGTGTTCAAACTTTGTCTAAAAACCAGCCAAACTAAAAATTTGACTTTTAGAGGAATAGGGAGCTCCCATATCCTTGCACAATCATATCTTAGACCCCATCAATAAGGAAATGATAATAAGATCTAACTGAGAAAGTTTTTTTTATTTTCCCATAACCATTTTCTCTTATCTTCCTCATCTGATAACCTTTTAATATTAAGCATATTCATCAAAGTAAAAAACTGAAGGACCAAATCCCCAGTCAATTGTCTTTTGAAATGAAGAACCCATCTCCATATATTATCTTCTTTAATTCTCAGACTACAAACAGTAGCATAAGGAGATGAAGAAAGTTTAAACAAAGATGGAAAAAGAGAAGCAAGAGAAGATGAGTCTAACCATTTATCAAGCCAAAAAAGGGTAAATTTTTCATTTCCAACTTTCACTTGAGTACTGCAAAGAAAGCTGTCAACATTAGTCCAGACACCTTTCCAAAACCAAGTTAAATGAGTTTTACCCAAATGAAGATATTCAGACCATACTTTTCTTTCAAAAAATTTATGGTGACTGATTTGTTTCCAGAGCTCATTATTGCCATTAAACCATTTCCAAAGCCATTTTCCTAAAAGAGCTTTATTCATCACTTTTAAATTTTTAATCCCCAAATCACCATAATGTTTTGGTCTACAAATCTCTTCCCATTTAACCAGATTAGTGCATCCTTTATGCTCCAAAGATCCAGTCCATAAAAATCTTCTCATCATAAAGTCAATTTTTTCAATAACCCATACTGGGAATAAGAAAAAAGACAACTAGAAAATTGGCATAGAAGAGAGAACTGAGTTAATCAAAATCAATCTTCCTCCTCTTGATAAAGACCTACCCTTCCAAATAGCTAATATTTTCTCAATTTTCTCAATCAAAGGAAACCAATCATCTCTTTTCAATTTCCTGGTCTTAAAGGAATTCCAAGATAGGTAATGGGAAAATTACCACATTTATAATTCATCATATATGCCAAATTCTGCTGTAAATTCTCATTTTCTTCAAGAGCAATGATAACACTTTTGTTAAAACTTATTTTTAAGCCTGAGGCTAGCTCAAAACAATATAAAATCAATTTCAACACAGTCAAATGCTCTTTATTGTTTTTGCAAAAGACCAAAGTGTCATCAGCATACTGTAAACACACAACTTTAGAGCTCATATTTTCAGGACCTAATCCTTCTATTAGCTGAGCATCAACAGCTAATTTTAACATCTTAGTAAAAGAATCAGCTGCCAAAACAAAAAGAAGAGGTGATAAATGATCTCCTTGACGAACCCCCCTTTTGGACATAATCCAATTTTCAGGTTTACCCTTTATGTTGATGGCAGATAAACCATCTTTCAAACATAAAGTCACCCATTTAATCCACTTTAAACCAAATTTTTTTTGCTTTCAAGACTTCTAAAATAAAGTTTCAGTCTAACAAATCATATGCCTTTTCAAAGTCCAGTTTTAACAGGATCCCTCCTTTTTTGTTATTCTGGAAACAATCATTGATAATTTCTTGAGCTGTCACAACACCATCTAGCAAAAATCTATCTTTAATAAAACCAGATTGCAAAGGGTCTATAAGCAACAAAAATTTAGAATTCAGTCTGTTAGTTAAGACTTTGGTAATCATTTTATAAACCACATTTAACAAACTGATGGGCCTGAAATCCTTAATAGAATTAGCTCCATTCTTTTTTGGAATAAGAACAACATGAGCATAATTAAGTCTATTGATTTCTAAGACACCCTCATGAAATTCAACAAATAATCTCATGATATCTTCTTTGACAGTCTCCCAAAAGACTTGATAAAAAAGGGCAGGAAAACCATCAGGGCCAGGAGATTTATCACCATTCATTTCAAAAATAGCTCTATGGATTTCCTCCATAGAAAAAGGTTGCTCAATCTCATCTGGATCCCAGTCAACCGAGGGGAATAATTTCTCCCAATCTAATTTACATCTGTGTTTGACAGTTTGCCCAAAAACTTGATTGTAATGATTGGAGAAAGCCTGAGCAATACCATCTTCAGAGCTAATAGTCACATCATTAACTGTAATTGAAGATATCAAATTACATCTCTTCCTACCATTGGCAATCTTATGAAAATAAGCTGTATTCTGATCCCCTTCTTTAAGCCAATGAGTTTTTGCTCTTTGTTTCCACATTTGTTCTTCTTGGATCAAAATTTCATTCAGCTGAAAAACAATATCATTTTTGCTAATCACCTCATCCTCAGTTAAATCTCTGGATTCTTCTAAAACCTCCCATTCTAACAGTTTATCCAATAAATCTTTTTTTTTTTTGTTTAACACTATGGAAATTAGTATGGGTCCACTGTTTAATACATTTCCTTAAAAATTTTAATTTGCCAACTAAATTTTTTGCAGCAGAACCACTTGAAGGAGCACATTTCCACCATAAAGGAATCCCTTTTTTAAACTCCTCAGATTGAAGCCATATTTTCTCAAATCTGAAAATTTTAACATTTTGTTGATAATCCCCACAATCAAAACTTATAGGGGCATGATCTGACAATTGGCTGCATAAGCCTTGCTGCCTAGAAAAAGGAAAAACATCATCCCATTCAGAGTTGAAAAAAACTCTATCCAATCTCGCCATAGAAGGAGATCTTCTTTTATTAGACCATGTAAATTTTCTCCCATGAAGGGGACTATCAATTAATTCCAAATCAATGATCATTTCATTAAAAAGTTCCATTTCTCTTCTATGAATACCCTTTCCTTTTCTTTCATCAGGATTGCAAGTAAGATTAAAATCCCCCACCACAACCCAAGGACCAAATATATTGTCTTTCAATTTTTTAAGTTCTTGCCAAAAAAATATTCTTTCATTATTGTTATGAGGTCCATAAACTGAGGAAAATAGTATAAAATTATTAAGAGAGCCCCTAGTTCTTATCACAAACTTTGGAGTTTTCATGAAACAGAAAGGAATTGAGATGATATCATAGTAGCCCAAGTTGAAATTTATTAAGCATGCGTTCAAAGATAATTTTTGAAAACAAAGTATTGGGTATAAAATAAGCAGAGTTCAGTCCACGAAAAGGATCCTCAAGCAGCAGAGACATATTAGAGTAAAATATTATAGCCCTCAAAATTTTTCGCAACTTCGAAGTTATGGTGTAGCAGAAAAGACTTCAAGACCTACAGGCACAAAATTTTAGGATTTTTTTCTCTTATTAAGGTTTGAATTTGGTGGAATTCTCAACAATGACTGCTATATTATGGACATCTGTTTAAAGGTAAATTTCACAAAACCCTCTGAAGTTTGGGGGTTTCCTATGAAACTCCGGGAACCTTTTTCCCACCCCTTGAACTTTGGGTTGTCACAAAAAACCCCCCTGTGGAACTTCAAAAAGAAGTGTTTGTTGATGCATTGACACTTTCAAGTGGTATGTGGAAAAATTTGAAATATGGGGGTTTGTGAAACACCCCAATGTTTAGAGGGGTTTGGTGGGAAAAAGTTCCCAGGTGTTTCGAGGGAAGCCCCCAAAGTTTGTTATTATTATTATTTTTTGAAATTTACTTTTCGTTTGAAATAAAAACACATCCACAGTTTCCATGCCTACAAAGCAATCTTCGTATTATGGTATATATCTTGGTTTTTGCTTCATGGTCTTCAGTATTAAACATGCAAAACGACCATTTTTTTTTTCTTTTGCACAATCCGACATGCACATGTTTTCAATACCCACCAATTGCTTATTTCAGGTCGTCAAAGCTGCACAGGGCCGTCTACCCGTTTTCCTCGATGGTGGTGTCCGCAGAGGCACCGATGTCTTCAAAGCATTGGCTTTAGGAGCATCCGGTGTATTTGTAAGTAAAACTTTCCTCATCTCGTCTCAAAGCACCAAACACATCGATTAGCTAGTAATTTGAGAGGTCCTATATTAATCCAATCCTTGTTGTATATTGGAATTTCAAGGGATAAGATGGTGCATCACTAGATTTCCATTATTATCTCGAAAACCGATATTGTCTTGATAATCACTTCTGTGGTGGTGCAAATACTACGTGACATCATCTTATCTCTTGAAATTTGAGTAGATTGTAAGGACTAGGATATTGAACCCTCTACAGGTTCCACATAATTAGAAAGGGTGTGGATTCATAACAATTCAAGAGCATCATCTTATCCTTTGAAATTAAAATAGACTGTAAGGATTAAGATAATTGAACTCTCTACAATTACCATGTAATTGGAGAGGATCTGGATTCATAACAATTCAAGAGTACTACTAAATTTACCATTATTTTAGATTGGAAGGCCGGTGGTATTTTCTCTGGCAGCCGAAGGAGAAGCTGGCGTCAGAAAAGTCCTTCAGATGCTCCGAGATGAATTCGAGCTCACGATGGCGTTGAGCGGGTGCACCTCACTTAAGGAGATCACTCGGAACCACATCGTGACTCCTGCTGAGCAGAATCGTCTTTTGCCGAGGTTATAGATTCCTCAGGGGTCTTGTGCTTATATTATCAAGGGAGAAAAATGAGACCAGATTAAAAGACGTGTATGCATTTAAACATTTGAGTTTGCTGTGACAATGATGATGATATTTCATATATTTCTGTTGATACTGCATCTTGTGTATATTTTTTAGTTGGTGTTGGTGAAATGTTTTTGGAGTTCAAAGTGATTGTGTGGGGGGCATGCTTGTTTATAGTCAGTGGCGTAGCTAGGATTACTTTTTGCACTGGGCGAAAAATAAAGGTGGACTACTGTAGGCGTCTAAAAATGCCTATAGGTATCCACACATAGCTCGAGACAAAAAGAAAAACGATGAACATCATTATCCAAGTCGAAGATGATTATCCGAGTCAAAGAGGATCATCTGACGCCGACAAGCGCATGAAGGGAATTGGCGAACCATTAATGACGTGGCGACGAACCACCGAAATGGCCAACGCCAAGTGGCCCGCATGCTCACCGGCCACCGCCAAGTGGTCCACACGCTCATCGACCACCGAAACGACGAACCAAATGGCCCGTTCACCGGCCACCGCCAAGTGGTCCACACGCTCATCGACCACCGAAACGACGAACCAAATGGCCCGTACGCTCACTGGCCACCTCCATGTGGCACACGCACTCATCGGCCATCGCCAAGTGACCCACACGCTCATCGACCACCGAAACGGCGAACCAAGTGGCCCGTGTGCTCACCGGCCACCTCCATGTGGCCCGCGCACTCATCAACCAACGTCAAGTGGCCCGCGTGCTCACCGACCACCACCAAATGGCCCGCACGCTCATCGGCCACCGAAATGGCAAACCAAGTGGCCCGTGCGCTCACCGACTACCTCCATATGGCCCACTCACTCATCGGCCAATGCTCACCGGCCACCGCCAAGTGCCCCGTACGCTCATCGGCCACCAAAATGGCAAACCAAGTGGCCCGTGCGCTCACCGGCTACCTCTATGTGGCCCGCGCACTCGTTAGCCAGCTCCAAGTGGCCCGCGTGCTCACCGGCCATCGTCAAGTGCCCCGCACGCTCATCGCCCACCAAAATGGCAAAATGACTGGCCCGTGTGCTCACTGGCCACCTCCATGTGGCCCGCGCACTCATTAGCCAGCTCCAAGTGGCCCGTATGCTCATCGGCCACCGAAATGGCAAACCAAGTGGCCCGTGCGCTCACCGGCTACCTCTATGTGGCCCGCGCACTCGTTAGCCAGCTCCAAGTGGCCCGCGTGCTCACCGGCCATCGTCAAGTGCCCCGCACGCTCATCGCCCACCAAAATGGCAAAATGACTGGCCCGTGTGCTCACTGGCCACCTCCATGTGGCCCGCGCACTCATTAGCCAGCTCCAAGTGGCCCGTATGCTCATCAGCCACCGAAACGGCGAACCAAGTGGCCTGCACGCCCATTGGTCATTGTCAAGCGACTTGCGCGTTCACGAAACGTATGAAGTGAATCGGTGAAGTGTACAAGTCAACAAAACGACGGAATGAACGCAGAAGGATGAAATAAGTCTAGACCAAACATACCGTGAAAGCCCCTGACGGCCGAGTCGCGCCAAAAC